AGAAAAATTCGCACAAATGCGATTGTTTGGCAGGGTTGGCAATGGCTTCGCTGTCGCTTTCATCCGACATGTCTGTGAAGTCGTCGACAGGAATTAAGTAGAATGTCAAACGCTTAAACTCTTTGCCGATTGCTTGTTTGTATGTGGAAAGTTGAAATGTTTCGTTTGTCCCGGGAACATTAACCACTTCTCGGAAGTCGGAATATAGCAAGGTGTACTGCTGAAGAGTGTCGTCAAACGACTGATCGAAGCTTGCGTGTTTGGCTTTTGCTTTCTGCAGTATATCCTCTTTCTTGGCTAAGGAGTTGACGGTGATAATCTGAGTCTTGCCACGACGAAGTTTAATTACCCCGTCTGTTTGCCCTGCTAAACCAACTTTAATTTCAACAATCGTTGATTTCTGCGTCGATTTCTTGCTCTTGGAATGGCCTGAATGGATCCCTCTCATTTTCTTCCTGGGGGGCTTAAAAACCACTCTGACGATCCTCTTCTCGCTTTTCATAGAATTCCTCGAATGATAGAGTACGTTCAGAGGGCTGCAGGTTGACCAAACTGGTTGGACTTGTGCCTTCACTGACTTTGCACTCTGTTCGAGGGGAACTAAGCATTCGGGACACCTCCTCACGGACTGCTGCACGAATTTCGTCACGAACATAATTAGACGCCATGTTAAATGTAACCTCAAGGAAAAAGCGCGCGAACTTAAGCTCACGACTGAGTCTCAGGCCTTGACGCGCAAATGCGCACGCATAGATCAAGTCCCTTTTATTTGCGGCGTGCCTTAGCTTTTTGTTTGCAGTGAGTTTTTTTTCCCTTGATTTGGGGTGTGCGTTGTGCTTTCATTTGCAGTGTGCGGTTAACTTTTTTTAATTCGGTGTGTAGCGTTTCACTTTATTGTGTAGAAGTGCATTTGATTTTTCACTGACGTTAATGGTTTAATGTTATTCGTAGTTTATTTGATTTAGTTTGCAGTAGTATATTTTTGTACTTTGGGTTTTTTTTAAGTTTGTAGCGCTGTCCCTAATGGACCATCGTACGGCCGAGATGTAATGTTGGGACCCAGTGAATATCAAATTTGTGCCACTGTTGGCAGCTTGACCTGACACAAAACCCTCTCATTTTCAAGCTTATCGTCCGTAAGGTCATTGCGACTTATGGCTGAAATCCATGCTCGTGTTCTTCTGGTTATCAACTCCACAGGTGCCCCAACCTCTGTCACAGGCTCTTTCACAGTGAATAGTTAAAGAGTTTGTATAGCGGTTTAGTTGGACTTGCTTTTGAGCTCCATAAATGTAAAGTTGTGTGAAATAATCAAAGAAATAAAGTCTTACCTTCGTAGAGAGTAGTCTGTGTTGTTCTCCTCGCGATTTGAGGCCGTTTTGATGTGTTTTAGCTTGACGCCCTAAATTACCGTGCATAAAATACGGGAAGGTCGGAAACTTCTGTTGACACATGCTCGCCAAAATCGCTCGAAAACAACACTTAAATACTTTCCCTCGAATCAAAACTCGGCAGCACGAAAGCCAAATAGTTGCCCTTTAAGTTCACCGAAAAAAATCCCACAAAAGTCGGTTTGTCGAGCAACCAATCCAGCGAGAATTTCAAATTAACGGCCGTTCGGAATTCTTCTAATGCGTGGAAGGAACTTCTTGTGCAGCTGAGAGACCGTTAATGCGCGGTCAACCTGGAACCTAGTCAAATCTCTCTCAACGGGTCCTCCCCATAGTCTTCTAACACCAACTCTTCACACATACTAAGGTACCCCGGGTAAACTCATCGACTTGACTAGATCGTCGATACTGTCCATCTTCACTGTTTTCAATGGATTTTTACAAATATCCTCTTACCCGGGGTACCNTCTGAAAGCAACATAGAAGCTAGTATTCAGGAAAGGAAACACGAAGTAGTCTTCGCAAGGGAAACTAAGCATTTGTATTATACAGATTTTTTCTCCAGTTACAACTGGATCCAAAAACACACACATGTGAACAATGATTATTGTTGAAACAACATTCAGTCAAATGGTACCACAGATGGACAAAGATTTATGAGGGCACAGCACACTGATCAATCTGTCGGCCATAGGGCAGCATCTGTTTCCCTCCTTATCTGAATACAGCAGATAATCACTAGGTAATGTACTCTGCGACACACTGTACTTTTGTCTCAACAAACCAATCACCCTTTCCACATGTATACATAAATTGGCTATCCCTCTTGTCTTTTCAACAGAGACAGGATCCAAACCGGCTCTTCCACTTGGTGAAGGCTGGAATAGCAAGTTTTGCTTGATATAGTGACAGGTTTTCTTCAATGGTAAACCCCCTGTCAGCCATGACTAAATCACCAGGCTTTAAATTCTTCAGCATTCCACAATGTTCAGTTAGGTATTTATCAGACCTTCGCCCACCTCAGGCTTTTGACTCAAAGCAAACAGATCCTTGTGGGGTCCTCTCAAGAAGAACCTTAACAGTGTTGTGGCTCTTAGAATGAGAATATGTCTGGGCTCTTGCTAACAGATTTAAAGGGTGATGGATGTAAATTTCAAAGCAATCTATGATGATTGTGGTTGCCTTTCCAAAAGAATACTGGAAGCATCGAGGCATTGTTCGCCATAGTTCTTCCCCTTCTGGCCATGATATTAAGGGTAATAGGTGCACATTTAATACTTCCATCCATGCTTTTAATACATGTGAAACAGTTGGAGGAGAAACTTCAAACCTGTATGGTAGGTCTAGATTTGGTACATATAGTCTCAATTTAATTAAGACCATAGCAAACTCTTGGAAAAGAGAAAGTGTCTTTGTCCTCCTGGTCACATTAGGTGAAACAAATTTAAATGTTCTAGTTAGTACGTGGTAATCTTGTAATCCTGTGTAGAATCTAGTTTTATCGATCATCAGAATCTTTAAAGTAGTCTTCCGTAAATGGCTGTGTTTTCGTTGCACTGCAGAACAAGTGATCAAATTCTGTTGTTTGGCTCGCCACATGAACTTTTTCCTGAGACAATGCAGAGATCAAGGTCTGGTTATCTCTATCAACGAGAACTGGCTTTTTGTCGGTGTCTTTGACAAGTTTTTCGCCTGCAACATCCATCTGCAGCTCACCCATCTCTTCATCTTCACTTCTGCCGTCTTGTAATTCATCACTTTCCTCAGTTTCCTGTGTTGTACATGTGTGTTCGACCTCACTAAAGATGTTTTCTACAGTATCTCCTGGCTCATTGAACTTCTTCATCTTTTCTGATACCTCTTGATCAATTATTTCTTGTCGCCTCTTCCGTCGTTCAGCTCTGTCAGCATTGAGTTGAGGATCAATCAGGTGCGGTCTCTTCGTGCGGCCGTACGGTGGCCCATTAGGGACAGCGCTACAAACTTAAAAAAAACCTAAAGTATAAAAATATACAACTGCAAACTAAATAAAATATACTACGAATAAAATAAAACCATTAACGTCAGTGAAAAATCAAATGCACTTCTACACAATAAAGTGAAACGCTACACACCGAATTAAAAACGTTAACCGCACACTGCAAATGAAAGCACAACGCACACCCCAAATCAAGAGGGAAAATACTCACTGCAAACAAAAAGCCAGGTCACGCCGCAAATGAAAGGGACTTAAATCTATGCGTGCGCCTTTGCGCGTCAAGGCCTGAAACCGAGTCGCAAGCGCGCTTTATCAAATCAAAACAAAATGGCGTCCGTCGAAGACTTGAGCACCTCGAGCGAATACGAAACGGCTGACACAACTTTAAACGACGACTTACCTCGTGGGTCTGAGCGAGATGTAATTGAATATTACTTTTACAGAGGTCTTACGTATAGGCATATTACTCTGATGTTGGAAAAGCAACATAATATTTTTAAGAATCAGCGAACTCTCAAGCGAAGGCTGAAAGATTATGGACTTAA